AAAATATTAAATGATTTATTTTATTTCAATTATTTTATACATTTTAGTGTTTGTCTTTTTATATTTATTATTATTTTTTATATAATTTAATTTTCACAAATTTTTTTAAAAGAATACAGTTAAATTATTGTTATAAATATAACAAATAATTATTTGATTTATTTATTAAAATAAAAAATATTTTATTAATTTTTTCTTTGGGAAAAAAAATAAAATTAAACTTTAAAAATTTTATTAATATTAATTTTAATATTTGTATTATTATTATTATTATTATTATTATTATTGTTATTATTATTATTATTATTATTGTTATTATTATTATTTATATGGTTTTCATAATCAATATATGAATATGATTTATTATTATCACTATTAAAAGATTGATAGTATTCAATATTATCCGGATTTTTATCATTATTATTATCATTATTATTTTCATTAATACTATTATTATTATTATCGTTATCATTTATATTTAAATTATTACTATTGATATTTATAAGTGAATGTTTTTCATTGAAATTTAATGAATTGTTATTATTACTATTTGTTTTTAAATTATAATATTTTGATTTTAAAAATAAAAATAAAAATAAAATTGCAAAACCAAAGGATAGTATAAATAGACAGGCGCCATAATAGTAAAATTGAGTTTTGATATCTAGGTTTAAAAATTGTTTACCCACTGCAAATTGCACCAGTACTTGTATTGTTAGTGCCATCATAATATTAAATGAAAATAATATACCAATTCTACTCGATAGTTTTTTTGCAATTTGAACATTTACAATTGGGGACATAAACTCGAAGCAACAATTATAAATAATAAAACTGAGAGCGCTTACAACTGTATTTGTACCAACACCCATAATGACCAATAACCCTCCTCCTAAAAACCCAAATAAAACTAATATTAAATTTTGAATATTATTCTATAAAAAACAAAAAAAATTAGATTTTGTTAAAATGTATATAATGATAATAATACATACTATAGAATTACCAAGCTTTGAAGGAATAATTGCAAAAAATGAAGCAAAGAAATATGCACTAGCTGATATATATCCGTTCCAACTTTGCTCATTATTAATTTGTAAAAATAAACTTTGCCAATCTTTAATGAAAATCAAAAGAAATTTTTTTTTTTGAAATTAGTAAATAAATAATTAGTATTTTTATTAATATGGGGTTATTATTATGCCTACATGTTAAAACTATTTGATGTATGGAAATCGCAATACCACTCCAAACATACCATCTTAGAATATCGGTGTTTTTATAGGTACTTATTAAATCATAAAATACCTCTTTAAATGAAAACCTTTTTTCGGCTTTATAATTTGTGAAACCTAATGCTAAAATCAATGCTAAAATATTTGTGACACATGCAATCACTAGAAGTAATACTAGTGATATCCTTTGTTGAACTAAAAACTGACCCAATAATCCCGATGATACTACTCCAACCAAATAACCTGCATTTACTCTACATGCCATCTTTTGATAGTCACTTGTATCTAAACTGAAATAAATGTAAGCAAGGAATACAATATAAGCAGCATATGCTAATCCTTCTGTAATCTGTTCTAAAATCATCCAAACTATATTATTTGTTGTCAATAATACTCCCAAAGTTAAAACTTTTGCAATCATACCAATAATAATAATTGCCTTTATAATAAAAAAAAATGTAAACATTAATTATAAATTATTATTATTGATTTTATTTTATTACTACTACATACCTTATAACCTATTATTTCACCTAAAAATCCAAAAACTAATAAAAAAACAAAATATGAATACGTCCAATACGGAAATATTTCTTGATAAACCTATTTTTATAATAGCTGATTGGTTAGTATGAGCTATATATGTTTCTTTAATTAATGAAAACTTACTATATTTTGATTTATATGTAAAACATTTGTTAAATAATCAACTAAAAATGGTTCGGATGGATCGAATGAAAATAAAAATGAAAATGAACAATACAATAAAAATGGTTTTATGTCTACTATATGGTCTTTAACTTTATTCATAAATCCTTTTTTTATGTTTTTATTGCTATTATCCGTTTCATTGTTTATCTCTTTAAAATCACCTTCCTCTTCCTCTTGTTGATTATTTACTATTATTATATTATTTATATTATTATCTATACTATTATCTTCATCATCGTCATTGTCTATATTATTATTAATTAAACTATCTATATAATAAGTTGAATGAGGATTATTTTTTATATCGTCATTATTATTATTATTATTATTATTATTATTATTATTATTATTATATTTTGATTTCGATAATAAACCTATATTTTCATCCATTTATAAAGTATTATTATATGGTTATATAAATAAATATTATTTTTATAGCTTCTAGTTATGAAATTCATATAAATTTTATTTATTATTATTGTATATGTATTGTGTTTTTTATTACAAGTGTGTCTTTTTTTAATTATAAAAAATTTTAAAATTTTTTTTTAAAATTTAAATTAAAAAGGGTGTTTTTTTTTTTTTTAAAATACATATGACTGTATATGTGCTTTTGTTATATTATTATAATTGATGGTAATGAACTTAAAAAAAACAACAATCATATGATTTTTTTTTAGTTTTTTAGTTTTAGTAAAAAAAAAAATACAAAAAATACAAAAAATATGCAAAATTTTTGACTAGACCTTGAAAAAGATTATTGATTATTGAACTTGTTTGTGTATCTTTTTTTTTTTTGATTGTTTTTTAGTATTGAGTCAATGAGCGTAATAATTTCCTATGCGTCAAAAATTAAAAATCTTTCGTTTACATTTTAAAAATTTTGAAAAAAAATTTTTATAAAAATAAAAAACTAAAAAATAAATAAAAATTTTATAAAAATAAAAAATAAAAAACTAAAAAAATAAAAAGATAATTATTTATTATTTTAATTATTTTGATTATTTTGATTATTATCATTATTTTATTTTATTAAATATACATAATCTAGTTTTTATTTGTCTTTTTTTTTTTTTTTTGATTTATTGAATTTATCGATTAAATTTTTTTTGTTTATTATATGATCTTGATATGTCAACAAATATGTTTAACATCATTTAATAAATAATTTAAAATATCACTAAGTGATATAATACCTTCTACTTTTTTACTTGAATCTATACAAACTAATCTATGAACTCTTTTCTTAATACATTTTTCAATTACATCGCCTAGTTTATCATATCGTGTGCATGTATAAATTTGTTCAGGTCTTTGCCATAATTTTGTAAATGTTGATAAAACTTGGTGAACTGGTAAATTTAAATCTGATGGTGAAAGTACGCCTTGTTTTGACATTAACTAATTTTTATAAAATAAATTGGTTTAGTTTAAATAAAATTTTTTAAGAATATTTTTTTTTTTTTAGTTATATTATTATTAACTAATATCATGATAATATTTAAATATTAAAAACTTACAGTTACATCACTCTTTGAATAAACATCAACAATTTTTGATGTTTCACTATCTATAATTGGTACAGCAGAAATTTTTTTAGCAGATAATAATTCTAAAACTTCAACTAAAGGTGTATGGGTCATTACTGTTACAACTGTTGCAAATGTACCTATTCCTAGTGATCCAAGTGGTACAGATAATAATTTTTCTGGTAATTGTGGTAACTATGCATCAAAATAATTAAATATTAATATTTTTTTTTTTTTTAAATGATTTTGTTTACTTACACTTTTCATCATAAATGCTAAAATTCTGGAATGGGTTAAAATATGAAGAATTGAGTTGGTATCTTTTCTATCGACAACAGGTAATCTATGAATTTTATAACATAATAAAAGTGAGGCAGCATCATATAAATTGGTTTCCGGTTCTGTAGAGATTAAAGATGAAGGACGCTCAACAGAAATTTCTCTCCAAAATGTTTCGATTCTGTGCATACCCATATCTTGAAAAATATTATTTGATCTTGGTTTTCTATAGTAGTAAAGTAAAATATCAATAAAATCAGAAACGGTGATCATACCAGTGAAATCGTGTTGTTCAGAGTTCCAAAGCGGGGCAGATTTAATACCATTCTCTTCTAATGCATAAAAGGCAGATTTGACTGCTAGTTTGGTATCTAACACTACAACTTTACCACTAATTGGTATCACATCGTAACATGTGTGTGCTTTTAAGAAATTTACAAATACTTGTTTTCCCTCCTCGATTGCTTTAGCAGTTTCTGCGTCAATTTTTTTTAATATTGGGTTATTTGCAGAGTTTGATAATGATCTAGTTTTACTTGGAATTTCAGTTGGTATTTCAAAATTAATTTGTAATGCTGGTTGGTTTGTAGTTGATGCATTAGCGTTATTGTTATTACTATTATTATTATTATTTTGGTTTGAAACAATAGATATTGTTGATTGTTTTAATGGATTATCATTTGAAGCTGTTGTTGTATCGGAGGTAACATCTTTGAAAGATAAACTATTTAAATTGGTTTCTATATTAATATCAGAGGTATTTGGAACTGTAGTTGATGCAGATGTGTTTATAGTTAAAGGTGTAATTGGGGTTGTACCTAAAATTGAAATATTACTGCCGCTGCTTCCCAATGTACTTGTCGATTCTGGTGGTGATGGTAGTTGTTCAATATTAAATACAACATCTTGACTGGATGATATAAATGATGGTGAGGGAGAAAGTATTTGATCGGATCTATTAGAAATTTCAAAGTCGTTAGATGTAGATATAGTTCTAGGTGGTTCGTTGTTATTATTATTGCTGCTCATTTTATTATCGTTATTATTATTATTGTTATTTAATGTATTATTTATTAAAGAAGAGGAAGAAAGTGATAATTGATCTTGTTGCTGTTGTTGTTTTTTTTCGATTTTATCTTTAATTTGTTGTATTTCTTTTTTTTCAATATTTTCAATTATAGAACAAAGCTCTTCATCTTCATCACCTTGATACCACATAAATTTATATTATTATTGAATTAATTTAAAATCTTCTTTTTTTTTATATCTCCTTTTATATAATTTAGACTTATTATAATATACTTATATATATATAATAATAAATATCAATTAATAAAAAAAAAATGTTATAGTAAAAAAAGATTTAAAATTAAATTTAAAAAAAAAATTAAAAAAAAAAAAAAAAAAAATAATTAAATTTAAAAAAAATTAAAAAAAAAAATTATTTTAATTTTTTTATTTTTTATTTTTTATAGTGCATTGATATTTTAGATATGTGTTTACTTAACATATACAAACAAAATCTTTTTTTCAAAAATGTAATTTTTTTCTTTTTCGGTCCCAATTTTTTATTTGGCTGCTTTTGATAAATAAAAAATTAACTAAATAGTTATTATATATGTTCACATATATAATAACTAAATAGTTCACATATTATGGTCTATTAAAACTTATCCATTTAAAATTTATAAATTTGATGGTCAGAGACCGTTCTAACACTGGATATAAGACTAACAAAGTTCTTATTGGAATCAATTTATTCATTTGCCAAACCAAATCCCACATTTTCTAAAGATGATTCAATGGAAGAACAATTAATACCATATTTATAAATATGGTATTAATTATTCTTCTCCATTCCACGACAAATCTTTCTTTGATTTTCAAAATAATTTGCTCTCATCAACCTTCAACAGCAGACCCCCAATCCCCCAGACTCTATACTGGTAGCTTTGGTAATCCATCATCATTATCATCACCATCACCATCATCCGTATATTCTATTCTCTATTATCTTTTGACAATTAATAATCATATCCACAACTGTAATCCTAAAACCAATTAATTTCCCCAAAAATAAGAAATTTTAAAACAATTAAAACATAAAAAAAAAAAAATTAAAGTGTTTCGCATAAAAAGTAATAATTTATTGAATGCTTTATAATTGATTATTTTACAATATTATTTATTATTATTATTTATTATATTGTTACTGTTAATTTATTCTTGTAAGAGGATGATATCGACATTGTCATGAACACGTTGTAAGAGGAGCTCACCTTCAAAAGTAATAATCTTCTTTCTTTTAGCTGATTTTAAGGTACCCATTAAAGCTTCGAAAACATTACCAACGGTATCATCATTAAATAAAACACCATATTTAACTACATATTGATTATTGGCATTTTTGGTGCCAAGTCTTTTGATATGTTCTTTTAATAATTGAACTTCGTGGTCAACTTGAGTTTGATCGGCCATTTTTAATATCTAAAAACCAATTAAATTATAAAATATTAATATCTTTATATAATTAATTAAATAAATAGAATAAATATAACATACATTTATGGGGTGTAAAAAATTATAAAT